TTTTTTTTTTTTTTTAATTCAAATCTAACTCAACTTTAACTCAATTTCACTATTCTTAATATTATCAATATAATAAAATAATACAACTCAATCATTCTTACACATTACAATAACTTTAATTTAATATTCATCCACTCACATAATTTTATCTACACTCACTTCACATTATCTCTCTTCTACTTTTACATCAAATCAATTTTAATTATTTTATTTTAAATATTATTTTAATATAAATTCAAAATCTCACTAACAACTAAACATCCACTTTTTCAATAAGCATTATTAAGATAAGTTATCACTGTTTGGATCTTTAATGTTGCGATTAGGTGCAAAACCGCACCAAACAGTACCGAAAACCAAAAATTGCCAAAGTCAAAATCAAATCGCACTGTTACGGAGAAAAAAAAATACGATCGATTCGGTTAATCTCAATTCTCAAGTGTGTGTATATATATACACACCTATAATATGACATAAACTTCATTTAGTACGGTTTAGTTAAAACTGCACCATTCGACAATAAAATTGAATCACACAGAATATTTTTCTTGTTTTTGAAAATCTTAACCGCACCGCAAATCACAATCATAAAAAATGAATCACACCACACTAAAAATATCGGTTCAACTCTGTTTTTCTGCTTCGGCTCTGTTTTGCATCCCCTAACTGCATTTCAATGTTTTTCTGTTCACCACCAAAAATATCCAATAAAAGACTAACAAGGAATGCAATTTTGTCTATTATTCTCTATGTTTTGGTAAACGTCATTGCCATAGTACTCAGAGTAGCTTGGTTGACTGGCTTGAGTGGTTAGCTCGGGTACGACTAGTCCAGGGGAGCTTTATTAGCTCAGTTGTAGTGTTTGACCACGTCAAGGAACTCGCTTAGGTAGCCCCGGGTATAGTTGACTTGATAAGAACACCCGGAGGCCGAGCTCTTTCAGGAGATTGAACAGAAGATTGTTGAGGTAGAGGTCGTTGTTACGACTTGGTTACAACCCGTGGCAACTAAGTTGCAAGGTCACTCGAGTGACCTAAGGACCTGGGTGTCGTGTGGTAATAGTCATTTAAGGATGAAAAGTGTATCTTGGAGTCTCAACTAATTTACCAAACACTATTATCATATCAACTAATTTTTTAGTCATCAACTATAAGTTCGAAATTCACTTATAAGATATTCATTATTAACTGACTTATCAACTAGATTTACCAAACATAACTTAAAAAAGTTTGTTTATCTCATAACCTTCTTAAGAAAGTAACTTTTTAAGCTCGTTGAATTTTTATTTCATTTGACTTTACAACTAATTTTATCAAACACTTTAATAATATTAGCTAGCTTTTCACTCCTCAACTATAAGCAATCAATTATAAGCTGGAAATTAACATCATGAGGCTATAAGGTAACTTATCATGTATTACTGTCCATTTATTGGTTTTTTTGAGTTACGATGCAATGATGCTAGCAATGCATGTAACATTCTTTACAAAACCCATCATTTTCATGTTCTTTCAATTACATTTTTTTATTGGACGTTCTGTAGCTTGGCATGGGAAGCGCGCTCGAGACCCTATGCGGGCAGGCTTATGGTGCAGGGCAGGTCCACATGCTCGGCGTCTACATGCAGCGCTCGATTATAATCCTCTTCGCCACATGTCTTCTCCTTCTCCCTCTCTACTTTTTCGCCACCCCTGTCCTAAAGCTGTTGGGACAGCCCGACGACATAGCCGGGCCCGCGGGCCGCTACTCCCTCCTCATCATTCCCCATCTCTTCTCTCTCTCGGTTGGGTTCCCGACCCAAAAGTTCCTCCAATCCCAAAGCAAGGTTACCGTGCTTGCCTGGATTGCGGCCCTGTCCCTCGTCTTAATGGGCATCCTTTGTTGGGCCTTCGTGAGCGTGCTCGGGTGGGGCGGGAACGGGGCAGCCCTCGCATTCGACATCACGAATTGGGCTACGGTGTCGGCCCAGTTCTTGTATATTGTGGGCTGGTGCAGGGAAGGGTGGAGGGGGTTCACGTGGGCCGCATTTCGGGATATCTGGGCATTCGTCATCTTGTCTTTGGAGTTGGCGATTATGCTTTGTCTCGAGATTTGGTACATGATGAGCATTGTCATTCTCACGGGGCATCTCGACGATTCTGTGACCGCGGTCGGCTCGCTTTCGATATGGTGCGTGTACTCGGACGTTGGTTCTCCCTTTTTTTCTTTTTTGAAAGTTCGAGAAATATAAATTTCCAAGGCTAAATTGCAATTTGGTCCTATTGGATTATTGGATTATGAAGGTAGCAATTTAGGTCCTACTAGAGTGACATATAACATTTTATGTCCTGTAGTATAAAATCTGTACTGCAATTTCAGTCCTTTGACCGTCAAAATTCCAAAATTCATCCCAAATATATAAATTGGTAATTTTGATGGCCAAATGTCTGAATTTGCAGCAAAATTTTGAAATATTAAAATACAGGACTTTCATTTCTATATGTCACTACAGTTGAACCTAAATTGCTACATTCATATTCTAACCAAATTGCAATTTAGCCATGTTTTCCATTACCTTAAATGCTCTGATTTGTTTTCAGCACGAACATTGATGGGTGGGAAACTATGGTGTTTGTTGGAGTCAATGCTGCTATAAGGTAAAGTATATATTTAGTACTACCTCCTATTCTTTTCAAAAGTCATTTTGGCTTTATCAACTTACAAAATAAATGTCGTTTTTGATATTTTGAAAATATTTTTCCATTATTACCTTCATTTAGCTAATAAATATATTACGTTTTTTCATGTTTACTCTTTATTTTATTTCAAAATATTCATCTCTATCCTCATTAAGAGGATTATTATGGGAAAAAAATATTCTTAATTATTGTGCAACTTCTCAAAACGACAATTATTATGAATATGAGGGAGTATCTAACAACTCCC